TAAAGTCTACTAACTTATTGTTATAATATTGCTGGATCTCATGATGCAGTTACAGGTTGTTTTTTTTTATAATAATTTGTCAAAATTATTATTAAATTCAAATACCACAGTGAATCAGGCTTTTTCATGATGATTACAAAACCATCACCAGGTAACCTTCATCACCTGATCCCGTTCAATTTTGTTACTGTATATGTGTTTGACAAACACACTGTCACAGCAGTCAAAAGAGATCAAATATCTAATATGAGTAAAGAGCCTGGCTAATGGAAACACTAATCACTGTTATGGTGACTTCAAATGAAACTGAGTTAAACCTCTGTTAAATAAAAATAAAAACTTCTGTAGAAGTCTGACAGAAATAAAGTCAGTCTGGTTAGTAATAAGTGAAGCTGGTAATGCTGTTTGTGGAGTTGTTTAATCCTCCTCTGCTGAGATCTTCAGATTTAATGTCTTCTCTTCAGTTGATTTCATCTAAGACTGTGTCGTCTCTTTTTCTGTTCTCTTCAGAGGAGTAAAGTCCAGGTTCAGAAAGTAAAAGTCCGCCTCAGTATTTTGTTCCAATCACCTGGATTTGCTTATTAGCAGTTTTTCAGTTAGGGCTGGGCGATTAATCGCACGATATTGTTATGCGCATCTAATCAGTAAAGCCGGTTCCTTGATTAGTAGTAAATCACCTTCACCTGCTTTCAGATGGACGATATGATGCAGATATGACTCTATGAGTGTTAAATTAACACTCAAGAGTGTTAAAGTTAATGAGATAATTAAGTGATTAATTTAGTGATGATTGAGCATTATTGAAGACACCTGATGATAACAAGCAGAATCACTGAAGGAGAAAATCTAAAATTGTAAGCCACCGTTATGGCGATCAGTGTTTGCTTTAGTTGGGCTCTTGATCTTTATACTTTAAGTTTAAATTTTGTTTGTCTGCTGTTATTGATTTATAACAGTTAAATGAACAAAGAAAAGTGTGGTCTGTTAGTGTTGTTTATGTTTTGACATAATCATGCTGTGATCTGAAAAATGAAATTCAATCAGATGATCTGGTTTAACTTGATAGCAACAATTTAGTGGTCCTATAGCATATGATAATTGTATTTTTCTTATAATCCAAAACATTTAATAATAATTGTTCTGATTAAATCACTTTCAAATGCATTTATTTAGAAACACAGACATCAATAATGAGCCTGTGAATCTCAACCGTGGTGACAATAATAATCCTTGTTGCCACCAATCACAACTCATTAATGGCTCCCATCATGCAATGCGGTATGAATAAATTATGATCTGAATTGTCAATGTAATTTACTTTTCCTAATTTAATATTCTGCTCGTCACCATTGTTGAGATGCATTGACTGAATCTTGATATCTGTGATTTATTTATTTATTTATGACAACTTTTAAGAAATCCTTTATATTATATCTCCAATTCTGTATATATTTGCAGAATTTCAGTTATGCTGGAACCAACGGCATAAATCACAAACAATTAGCTCAAATGATGAATGCCATAATATAACCAACACCATTAGATTTTTTTTTTCTTTTTCTTTGTTCATCTGGCAGTTATAACTCAGATACAACAGACAAACAAAATCTAAAGTTATAAATCTAAGGGTCAAGAGCCCAACTAAAGCAAACACTCATCTCCATAATGGTGACCTGAAATTCCGGTTTTCTCCTTCAGTGATTCTGCTTTAGGTGTCTTCAATAATGCTCAATCATCACTCAATTAATCACTTAAATATCTCATTAACTTTAACACTCTTGAGTGTGGACTCATATACACTCCCAGGTGTGTTCATTTAACACTGAGTTTTTGCTGTGTACAAAGAGCCGTAGTTAACTGACAAGCTGAGCCATATCGCATTAAATATCGCTGGCGATATGTCCTCGATTTTAACGCGATTTGGCTCAGCTTGTCAGTTAACTACGGCTCTGTGTAGTAAATGCCGCTCCATCTGAAAGCAGGTGAAGGTGATTTACTACTAATCAAGGAACCGGCTTTACTGATTAGATGCGCATAACAATATCGTGCGATTAATCGCCCAGCCCTATTTTCAGTCAGGAGACAGAAATCAACTGAAATCAACTGTCAATCAGTTCATGGCTGGAAGTAAGACATGGCAGAATTTCTACTTTCTACTTCTACTTTATACAACTCTGGCTGGTACCCAGCATGCATTGCAGAAAAGTATTTTTGATTGTCACCATTGTTGAGATTCATACGCTGATTGTTGATGTCTGTGTCATCTTGAATTGACTTATACACAGTGCTTGAAGTGGGGCGGTCCTCACAGGTACGCAGTACCGGCACTTCTACATTTTACTCTTAAGTTGTACCTGCACTTTTTCTTGCGTACCGCTAGCCTGGTTTAAACCAGACCATTCTCAGTTGTAACTGAGTTATGGTCTGGCAAAGCATCTTAGACAAATCATTTCCAGAGGAGCGTCACCAACGGACGTCGCGGATAGACCTAAACCCAATCAGAGCGATGAAGGAGATGACGTATGCAGAGCGGCGGAGAAACATCTCCGTGTGTTGTTCTTTGCTCGGTTTTTAACAAAAAGGAAACGTTCAAATCGCTTAAAACAGACGCGATAGCTGATTTGAACGAGTGATGTTCGACGGCGGCATCCATCTTTGTAATGTAGGCTACAAAATCTGCTTCAAAATCCCAGCGCTGTCGTCATCGTGTAAAGCTCGCCCCAACGTTTCTGATTGGTGCCTCGATTTCGACGGATTGGAAATGGGCTTGAATGAGCTCTTTGCCAGACTAACTTTCAGAGCAAATCTAAATTTGCCGGAAGTTGTCTGGGTTTTCCCAGGCTAGCGTACCGCTACTTCTCGCATGTAGCCGGTACTCGACCACTGACAGAAAAAGCGTCAGTGCCACACCTGTTTCACATATACTCCGTTTGCAGTGCGGTCCGTCAATGCGCTCCTGGTGCGGTGCGTATACAGCAGTGCAGTGATTGTTCTGAGACTATTTTTGCTGTGCTGCATGCGCTGAATTAAAGTGACAGCGCAAGGTTCGTGGTCAAAACACAGATTGACATGAAAATATAATCTCACCAAAAAAAATTTAATTAAATAAAATGTAGTATCTCACCATAAATGCAGACTTGGAGGAGTTCAGTATTCATACACACGCAAGCACGTGCGCACACACACACACACACACACACACACACACACGACTTGTTTTAATACATTTATGTTGTTAATAAATAACAATAAATTGTTGTTGTACCAGCAATATCTCCAAGTTTTGTTTTTCACTATAGAAATTTCAAATGTCATGATTTGCCAATGCAAGAGAGTACCGGCACCTTTTCCCCACTTCAAGCACTGCTTATACTCATGTTTGTTAAAGTCTTCTAACTTGTTGTTATAATATTGCTGGATCTCATTCTGCAGTAACACATGGTTTATGATGTCAAAAAAATATTAATTTGACAAAATAATTGTGAAATAAAAAAATTTATTCAATGAGGTTATTTCATGATGAGTATAAAACCATCAACAGGTAACCATCATCACCTGATATCATTTCACTTTAACTTTCTTTGCTGCTAGTGCAAATGTGTTTGACAAACACACTGTCACAGAAGTCAAAAAGATTTAATAAGAGTTAAGAGCCCAACTAATGGAAACATTAATCATTGTTATGGTGACTTCAAATGAAACAGAGTTAAACCTCTGTTAATTCTCAATAAAAACTTTTGTAGACGTCTGACAGAAAAAAAGTCAGTCTGGTTAGTAATAAGTGAAGCTGGTAATGCTGTTTGTGGAGTTGTTTAATCCTCCTCTTCTGAGATCTTCAGATTTAATGTCTTCTTTTCTCTTCAGTTGATTTCATCTAATACTGTGGCTGAAGTCAGTTGTAGTTCTTGTGTTTCTCTTTCACTTTATTATCTCATTAACTTTAACTCAACTTTAACACTCTATAGAGTGTGGGCATATGTGCTCTGAGGGATGGGTGGGGCTTTCCTGGTTACAGATTTCCAAAGAATACTTTCCTGGGTTTTATTTTATTTTTTTTTGGGGGGGGGGGAGCCATGAATAACAGATTGAAGAGACACCACCCAAACATATGAATAAAATTCGTCTAAGTTTTCAATCTTGAACACACTTCATCTGTGAACACATAGGCTACTGTATTGTAAATCTGTAACAGCAAATAATGAAATCAGGCAAGTATACTGTAAACAAAGTTACTAAAGGAACAACTGGATCACTAACAGAGAGACTCTGGCAGGATGAAGGAAAAGCTAGAATGTGCAGTAAGTAGAAATTTTATTCTGACGTAGAGATGTAGTTGGATATGGAGCAATAATGTTTGAGTAACTGAAAAATGTTAAATAAATTAAAAACGCTGTAAAATCCAACAGTTATTTTAACTAACACTTTTAAGTTAACTTTTCATTGTAAAAATCTAGTAATCTGTACTATTCACGTTATTCAGAAAAAAAACAAGTTAAGATTAATTGATTGGTTTGAGGGCAATTTTGTCAAGCAAAAACAAATAAAAAATACAAATAAATAAATGATTTTAATAAATATAAAGTGGCGTAGCTAGTGTTGTTAAATGTGTCACTAATGTTTGAGGAAATGTCACATGCAAGTTCAAATTGTGTTTCTAAGAACAATGTCAATGTTTCTGCTTTTAGATTGAATATATTAACACTTATACACAGTACCTTTTGAATATGCTCATCTTTAGATATTTAGAAACAAGTCTTGTAAAATAATATACTGTACAAGCATATTTTCTAAAGACAAATGTAGATTAAAAGGTTGATTTTAATCCTTTTTTTGGAATAATATGAAGAGTATTCATTGATATGTGTGTCTTTCTGTTTGTCAGGAGTAAGCAGGTGTTTGGTGTTGATGACAGTGTGTCTCGGGCTCATGTGTGTTCTTCTGCTGGTCTTCATCACACTGCAGCACATCTGCATCACAGCAGAGCGAGACCTGTTAAAGAGTTACAAGAACACAGTTGAAGAGTTCAATCACACTATCGACAGCTTACAGGACAAGAACGCTGATCTAATGACTGAAAAAGACCAAGTGAAGAACAACTTGAACTCTTTGAATCAGAAGAAACTGGAGCTGGTTCATAATCTCAGTGTTGAGAAAAGTCAGTTACAGGGAAGTTTTGATGCTTTGAATCAGACGAAACTGGAGCTGGAGACCAGAGTCAATGATCTCAGTGCTGAGAAAAGTCAGTTACAGGGAAGTTTTAACTCTTTGAGTCAGAAGAAACTGGAACTGGAGACCAGAGTCAATGATCTCACTGCTGAGAAAAGTCAGTTACAGGGAAGTTTTAACTCTTTGAGTCAGAAGAAACTGGAGCTGGAGACCAGAGTCAATGATCTCACTGCTGAGAAAAGTCAGTTACAGAGAAGTTTTGACTCTTTGAGTCTGAAGAAACTGGAGCTGGAGACCAGAGTCAATGATCTCAGTGCTGAGAAAAGTCAGTTACAGGGAAGTTTTGACTCTTTGAGTCAGAAGAAACTGGAGCTGGAGACCAGAGTCAATGATCTCACTGCTGAGAAAAGTCAGTTACAGGGAAGTTTTAACTCTTTGAGTCAGAAGAAACTGGAGTTGGAGACCAGAGTCAATGATCTCAGTGCTGAGAAAAGTCAGTTACAGGGAAGTTTTGACTCTTTGAGTCAGAAGAAACTGGAGCTGGAGACCAGAGTCAATGATCTCACTGCTGAGAAAAGTCAGTTACAGGGAAGTTTTAACTCTTTGAGTCAGAAGAAACTGGAGTTGGAGACCAGAGTCAATGATCTCAGTGCTGAGAAAAGTCAGTTACAGGGAAGTTTTGACTCTTTGAGTCAGAAGAAACTGGAGCTGGAGACCAGAGTCAATGATCTCAGTGCTGAGAAAAGTCAGTTACAGGGAAGTTTTGACTCTTTGAGTCAGAAGAAACTGGAGCTGGAGACCAGAGTCAATGATCTCAGTGCTGAGAAAAGTCAGTTACAGGGAAGTTTTGACTCTTTGAGTCAGAAGAAACTGGAGCTGGAGACCAGAGTCAATGATCTCAGTGCTGAGAAAAGTCAGTTACAGGGAAGTTTTGACTCTTTGAGTCAGAAGAAACTGGAGCTGGAGACCAGAGTCAATGATCTCACTGCTGAGAAAAGTCAGTTACAGGGAAGTTTTAACTCTTTGAGTCAGAAGAAACTGGAGTTGGAGACCAGAGTCAATGATCTCACTGCTGAGAAAAGTCAGTTACGGGGAAGTTTTAACTCTTTGAATCAGACGAAACTGGAACTGGAGACCAGAGTCAATGATCTCACTGCTGAGAAAAGTCAGTTACAGAAAAGTTTTAACTCTTTGAGTCAGAAGAAACTGGAACTGGAGACTGAACTAGGGAAGATATCTACACAAGGTTTGTACACAGCATAATCCCCAGTGTTAAATTAACACTCCTCAGTGTACATATATGTGTCAACACTACAGTAGCTGCGTTTACATGGTTCAATCGGAATGAAATCAATCCGATTGATGAATCCGAACACGGTGTTTTCATGAACGATAAATAAAGTAATCGGGTTGATGTGCGTGTTTATATGTCACAACCCAGCCAGCACAGCCATGTGGGGCCCACATGGGTTTGACACGGGCTATCTAACTGGGACCCAGACAGTTTTGCTCCCGGTTTCCATGTAGGCCCCACATGGGTTTGCCCAGATAAAATGAACACTGCTCAGTGTGCACACTACAGGCTGTTAAATGTAACACTGATCAGTGTTGGAGTTAATGAGATAATTAAGTGATTGAATATGATTGAGCATTATTGAAGACACCTAAAGCAGAATCACCGAAGGAGAAAATTGTAAGCCACCGTTATGGCGATCATTGTTTGCTTTAGTTGGGCTCTTGACCCTTATATTATTAACTTTAGATTTTGTTTGGCTGTTGTTGACTTATAACTGCCAGATGAACAAAAAAAAATGTGATGGAATGGTGTTGGTTATATTATGACAGTCATCGTTTGAACATAATCATGCTGTGATCTGAAAAATGAAACTTATTGAGATTATCTGGTTTGACTTGTTAGCAACAGCTTTGTGATTCTACAGCAAATGATTATCAGTATTTTTTTATCCAAAATATTTCATTAACATTGTTCTGATCAAAACATAAAATGATTTAGAAACACATCAATAATCAGTCTGTGAATCTCAACAATGGTGACAATAATAATGCATGTTGCAGTGGCTGCCACCAATCACAACTCATTAATGGCTCCCATCATGCATTGCGGTATGAATAAATTATGATCTGAATTGTCTATGTAATTTACTTTTCCTAGTTGAATATTCTGCTCGTCACCATTGTTGAGATGCATTGACTGAATCTTGACGTCTGTGTGTGCCTAAAAGAAAGATTTTTTTTAAATAACTTTTAAGAAATCCTTTATATTATATCTAAAATTCTGGATATTTATGCAGAATCACAGTTACGCTGTAACCAACAGCATAAATCACTAAACATAAGGTTCAAACGATGACTGTCATAATATAACCAACACCATTACATCACTTTTTTTTTTGTTCATCTGGCAGTTATAAGTCAGAAACAACAGCCAAAAAAAATCTAAAGTTAATAATATAAGGGTCAAGAGCCCAACTAAAGCAAACAATGATCGCCATAACGGTGGCTTACAATTTTCTCCTTCAGTGATTCTGCTTTAGGTGTCTTCAATAATGCTCAATCATTTTCAATCACTTAATTATCTCATTAACTCCAACACTGATCAGTGTTACATTTAACAGCCTGTAGTGTGCACACTGAGCAGTGTTCATTTCATCTGGGCAAACCCATGTGGGGCCTACATGGAAACCGGGAGCAAAACTGTCTGGGTCCCAGTTAGATAGCCCAGGTCAAACCCATGTGGGCCCCACATGGCTGTGCTGGCTGGGAAGATTCAAATCGGAATTGATTTTTTGACATGCGCACACTGCACAAGTATACTGCCGCTGTCCGCGCATAGATATTCTCCACTATTTGTTCTTTATTTGTTTTAAACAGCAGACTTAAAGGGTTAGTTCGCCCATTTAAGACATGAAGTTGTATGCAATCCTTACCAGCACTATAGTGCATACACACTGACCCACTCTGTTGTCACCTCCCTGGTCAGAGTTCTGGCCGCTGGACGTTTTCCAATAAAGTACTCCCGGTTATTTTCCGGTGCCACAAAACTGTGCGTTTTTATGTGAAAAAATTATTTGCGTTTCAAAGCTTGATTAATTTACCACACAAAAAACACGGCGGTCAAAATTCATACCTCAGTTTTAATCGGCACTATTTTCTATCCATTTCTATCAATCCGCGCTGCTGTCAACGTCAACAGTGCGCACGTTCCGATCAGCTGTTGATAGCGCGACTCGCTGACAACATGTCTGACTGCGAAACTTCTGATGATGAAACCAATTTTAGCACAATGTCAGACGGATCAGATGATGAAAGTAATTTTAGCACAACGACAATGTTATTGATTGCAACACAAAACCTCAATTGTGTGTGTGTTCAATCAAATAGTTTTCTCAGCAAATTGTACCAATATCCCTATAGCTGTTTTTATATTAGACATCTTTTCACGTGTTTTATAATGGAGTCTAAACATCAGCTTGTTTACCGTACAGTTTAGACATGGGATCATAAATTTAGTAAATAGAGCTTACCCGTGGTACTGGTACAGCAAAACTCTTTAATTTTCCTTTTCCTCCTTGATTGGGGATATAATCGTCTTCGCTGAAGTGAGCACCACACATACTAAAATCCTTTATTTTGGATATTTTAGCTCCCGCAGAGTAGCCGATGGCAACCAGCCAAATCAACAACACGCGCTTGCACCCCCTGCTGGTGAGGTCGACTAACAGCAGATGGAGATTATGCTCGGTAAGCTGTCTCATAGTTATATTCGAAACAGGAAAACGATGGAATCTGAACTTTGATCCCGGCACATCCTTGTGGTCACAGCCTGGGAATTTACAAGTTCGCACCATTGTTAATTTAACACTTTTTACGTCGTTGTCAATCGATTGTGTAAAAACTATGGAACAGCTGATCGGAACGTGCGCACTGTTGACGTTGACAGCAGCGCGGATTGATAGAAATGGATAGAAAATAGTGCCGATTAAAACTGAGGTATGAATTTTGACCGGCGTGTTTTTTGTGTGGTAAATTAATCAAGCTTTGAAACGCAAATAATTTTTTCACGTAAAAACGCACAGTTTTGTGGCACCGGAAAATAACCGGGAGTACTTTATTGAAAAACTTCCAGCGGCCAGAACTCTGACCAGGGAGGTGACAACAGAGTGGGTCAGTGTGTATGCACTATAGTGCTGGTAAGGATTGCATACAACTTCATGTCTTAAATGGGCGAACTAAAGCCCCGTTCACACTACAAGCCACTTTGTCGCTGCATGTCGCCAGTGGCTGGCGATGAGGTCGCTAGTGGGAGTTCCCACTACTGGTTGCCTTTATTAATGACATCCAATGATGTGGAGAAGGATCATACGCGCTCCGCTCCTATTGGTTGTCCCTCCCGAAAGTCGCTCCTCATTTGCATAAAGTTAAACAGATCTCAACTTTGTCGCGTCGCCAGCCACGCCCCATCCGGTCGCCAACGGTCGCTGTCGCGCGTGTCGCCGGAAATCGCCAGCTCCCTATTGAAATGAATGGTATCGCGTCGTGTGTAGTGTGAACGGGGCTTAACCCTTTAATATTTATCTGTCTCTGGTCATGATTTGGAGACGATGAGCATGAACCGTTTTGCCGTGCTACTTATATTTATCACGCAGTAAAACCCCACGCCCAAAACCAGTCGTCTGTGGATGAGAATCTGAAACAAGCACCCCTTTCAATCCGATCGAAACTCCAGTCGGATCATGACGTTTTTTTAGTCCGATTGAGCCGTCAATCCGATTATAAGGGTCCATTTAAACGTAGCTGGGCGATATATCGCATGACATTGTTATGCACATCTCTTCAGTAAAGCCGGTTCCTTGACTAGTAGTAAATCGCCTTCACCTGCTTTCAGATGGAAGATATGATGCAGATATGAGTGTTAAATTAACACTCAAGAGTGTTAAAGTTAATGAGATAATTAAGTGATTAATTTAGTGATGATTGGGCATTATTGAAGACACCTGATGTTAGCAAGCAGAATCACTGAAGGAGAAAATCACAAATTGTCATGTTACCATTATGGAGATCAGTGTTTGCTTTAGTTGGACTCTTGACCCTTACACTTTCACTTTAAATTATGTTTGTCTGTTATGACACTCACTCTGTGGATATACACCCACACATTTGTGAACTTGCGACTCACGTGATTTGTGGTAGCATTGTCACGCAGCTCTGCTCTGAAACTTAGACTGTGTGAAAATGAAACTTCGCAATCTCGCAGCGTATAAACAAAACTTGGAGGGAGCCTTCTGCTCTGGGCCAATGCTTTGCTGACGTAGGCTACAGTCCAATCACAAGTCGTATTTACTGGAAAGGTGGGATTGACCGATTGCATTGCATGTGAACTGCATGGAGCACATCTCATCATGAATTTTGCTCATTTAAAAGTGGGGTAGGTAGAAATTTTCTAAAAAAAAACTTTTTTCCCGAATTGGTTTAAACTGTCTATAGGCCTATATACCAATACATAATTAAAATGTAAGTACTCTGAAAAAGAAAGTATACAAATCGAGTGTATGTAGTCCTCTCAGTGCTGCAATAAACACAGCTCATTATTTCATTCACTCCCACCCCCTCCTGTCTGGGATCCTTACAAAGCCACGCCCCCAAAACACATGAACGCGCGCTGCCGACCGCGCTCAGCTGGAGGACCCGTTTACCAGCGCCGCAGAGAGGATTAGTCCAAGTCCAAGTCCAAGTCCACTTTATTGTCAATCAAAACCATGTAACAGTACATTACGCAGCAGACTGAAATTGCGTTTCTCCCATACTCCAATGTGCAATATTAAAACAAGATTTAACACATACTAAACATAGACTAAACATACAGCTAAACATAGAACACCACTAACCAAGTGCAGAAGTCCACATAGCATGGCCTACAGTCAGCTTACAGCTACTGGACTATCACAGAGTTTCAAAATATTGTCGGGTTAAGATGTTTCACTGTAGTACAATAAAAGGTGCAATATGGCAAGGTGCAAGTAGCAGCATAGAGATACTTAAATATTGTAAACTTTTTACATTCTTGTGCAAGGGGATATTGGCATATGTGCATATGAGTATTTTGCAAACGTTTGAATATGCCTTTTCCACAATCTCACAGGTCATTAGTGTGTGTGGGTTGTGGGGAGAGGGAGGGGTGTTATAATCCAGTTTTCATGAATGAGTTCAGCAGTCTGATAGCTTGTGGGAAAAAGCTATTGCTGAGTCCGGTAGTCCTGCAACGCATACTGCTGTAGCACTTACCAGATGGTAGGAGGGTGAACAGTTTGTGTGTGGGGTGGGTGGGGTCTTTGATGATGTTGGTGGCTCTTTTGTGGCAGCGGGATGGGTATATGTCCTTGATGGATGGTTGGGCTGATCTGGTGATCTTCTCAGCTGACCTCACCACCCTCTGTAGAGCTTTCCGGTCAGCAACAGTGCAGCTACCATACCAAACTGAGAAACTGCTGGTGAGGATACTCTCAATAGCACCCCTGTAAAAGGTAGTGAGTGCCAATGAGGGAAGGTTGGCTCTTCTCATCCTGCGTAAGAAGTGGAGGCGTTGCTGAGCTTTCTTGACAAGGGAGATGGTGTTGGTAGACCATGACAGATCATCTGTGATATGCACCCCCAGGAACTTGATGCTTTTCACTGATTCCACAGCGCTGCCATTGATGGTGAGGGGTGTGTGTGGCCTATGATTTTTCCTGAAGTCCACAGTTATTTCTTTTGTTTTATTAACATTTAAATGTAAATTGTTAGTGTCACACCAATTGATGAGTTGGTATACCTCATCTCTGTATGCCGAGTCGTTGTCGTTGCTGATGAGACCCACCACCGTTGTGTCATCTGCAAACTTGATGATGTGGTTTGAGCTGTATCTGGCACAACAGTCATGTGCCCAATGTAAACAGCAGTGGACTCAACACACATCCTTGAGGGACCCCAGTGTTCATGATGGTGGTCTGCGAAGAGTTTTTGCCAACTCTTACTGTCTGTGGTCTGTTGGTGAGAAAGTCTAGTAGCCAGTTGCAAAGTGGGGTACTGATACCCACAGCACTGAGTTTATTCACCAAGTGTTGTGGGATAACTGTATTGAAGGCAGAGCTGAAGTCAATGAACAGCATCCGCACACAGCTGTTTTTGCTCTCTAGATGAGCCAGACTAAGGTGAAGTGCTGTTGCTATGGCATCATCAGTGGAGCGCTTGGGACGGTATGCAAACTGGAATGGGTCAAATGTGGCAGGTAGGCTGGATGTTATATGAGCTTTGACCAGCCTTTTAAAGCACTTCATCATAATGGACGTGAGTGCTATAGGCCGGTAGTCGTTCAGTGTTGTGGCTGGTGATTTCTTTGGTAGCGGTTATGATAGTAGTGGCTTTGAAGCATTCTGGTATGATGGCTTTGCTCAAAGAGATGTTAAAGATATCTGTGAGAACATCTGTAAATGAGTTAGCACAATCTCTAAGCACACACCAAGGTATATTATCGGGACCAGCAGCCTTCCTGGGGTTTACCTTTTAAAGAGTCCTCCGCACGTCGGTAGGGTCAAGTTGAAGAGTTGCATTGTCCAAGCAGTGTAGAACTTTTGTCGGAGTGGTGTTATTGTTTTCCTCAAAACGACTGAAAAATGAATTGAGTGAGTTTAGGAAGTCTGTGCTGTCCTCGCACGGTAAGGGTGTAGGCCTGTAGTCCGTTACTGACTGGATGCCTTGCCATAGGCGTCTCTTTTGTATCAGTGAAGTGTGACTGGATTTTTTGTCCATAGGCATGCTTTGCTGCTCTCAGGCCTCGATTCAAGTTGGCCCTAGCAGTTCTAAGGGCCCCTTTGTCCCCAGACCTAAAAGCCGCATTCCGTGCTTTTAGGAGCTCACATACCTCCTTGGTGAACCATGGTTTGTTGTTTGCCCTTGTGGTGATGTGTTTTATGACGGTCACATCTTCCATGCATTTGGATATGTATCCCGTCACAGACTCAGTGTATTCAGTTATATTGACATGCTGGTTGGAAGTGGCAGCCTTCCTAAAAACAGTCCAATCTGTGCAGTCAAAACAGTCTTGGAGCGCTGAGGTAGCCCCCTCTGACCAAGTTCTAATCCACTTCACAGACGGTTTGTTCCTCACCAGCAGTGGCCTGTAAGATGGCATTAGCATAACAGAAAGATGGTCCGAGTTTCCCAGACGGGGGTGTGGAACAGCTCTGTATGCCTGTTTAATGTTAGAATAGACCTGGTCCAGAATGTTTTCTCCCCTGGTTGCAAAGTCCACATATTTATGAAAGTGTGGGAGTACTGTCTTCAATTTGGCCTGATTGAAATCGCCCGCAATTATACAGGCAGAGTCCGGGTTTGAGTCCTGCATTGAGCTCACAGATTGATACAATGTAGAAAGTGCGTCTTTTGTATTTGCACTGGGTGGTATGTACTAGGGGTGTAAATCGGACAGTTCATCACGATACGATACGATATCGATTCTCTCAGCCAGCGATACGATTATTGCCGATACCTCAAAAAATTCCGCGATATGATTACGATTCGATTCGATTCAGGGTTATCAATCGATTTATCGATATTTAGATATTATGTGCCAAGTTTACACAACCAGTTACGTTTATTAACTCACAAATGCATCCAAAAATATATGAAAGTTTAATTAAACTCTTTGAAAATTGCACACCCTCTCCCAATTGGGACATTTACAAGTTGTTTGTTACAAGTTACAAGTAAAAACAGAGTTATCTGTTTTTGCAAATGAACTAACAGAAGAGGTTGTTTTGATTAAGTAATAATAACAAAAAAAATACAGGTAAATAAAGTGCATTGAAAGTATTTTTTTATATATAGGCTATAGCTATATATTTTTTGTGTGTGGCAAAAGCAGATAACTCCACATTTCATGTTTCAGAGTTAAACAAAGCCTAGTAATTGCTATGATACTTAATTAAACACTTAATCTTTGTAATGTTAATCTCCTCAGCTGACATCTAGACGCCTGTCAAACTTTGTTGTTGTTAATAACGTACACGCGATACAGAGAGCTTTTCCCTCACCACTAACCTGCTGTTTTAGCAAGATTCCGTGAAAAAGTTTCAGATCTTATTTTCCTTTTACGCCCCGAAGAAGATATCACAGGTTCATCAAGTTCGTTGAAATCCATCCTCGATCACTTTTAATCAGCTTTGACGAAACTCCTCTCAGCTAGCGCGTCTTTTCAAAGTGACTAGCAGGCTTGTCACCTGACCTGAATACTGCGCACTGTTTCACAAACAAGGGTGCTTGTCGTTTCTGCTGTAAAAGATGAACTCGCGATGCCTTGACAGTGGAAAATACCGGCTTTTGTGACAAAGGGTTCAGTCAATCTTGTCAGGCGTCTATTTCAGCTGAGAAAAATTACGTGAGGATGTGGAGAGTGTCAAAATAAAGGTACTGTATAATCGATATTTTATGTGTTGCATCGATGCATCGTATCGTTAGACTTTTGATCGATGTATCGATCCATATCAATGTATTGTTACACCCCTAGTATGTACACGGCTGTGATAGTCACGGCTGAAAATTCTCTTGGCAAGTATACTGGACGGCATTTGACTGTTAGAAATTCTATGTCCTTGGAACAGTGTCTTGAGATGACTTTAACATTAGTGCACCAATTGTTTTTAATGAAAATTGCTACTCCACCACCTCGTAGCTTACCAGTGAGTGCGTGGCTTCTGTCTGCCCTGAATGTTGTTAGTCCATCCACCTGAACGACGTTGTCTGGAACAGTGTGGTCAAGCCATGTCTCGGTGAGGACGATGGCGCTGCAATCTTTCACCATCCTATGTGTAATTAGATCCAATCTGAGGTAGTCCATTTTGTTTTCCAGCGAACGAACGTTGGAAAGTAGAATCGAAGGAAGTGCAGGTCTATTCGGTTTAGCTTTTAGCCTTGCGCTAATGCCCGCTCGACTGCCTCGCTTTCTAGGTCTAGCACACCGCTTGCGACTCATGCTAGGGCTGCGTTCCAAACCGCATACTCAATGAGTAGGTACTTAATTTCAATGAGTACTTACTTAACGAGCGCTAAAAGAGTAGGTACTTTATAGCCAAATCTCGTTGAGTATGAATGCGATCCGGACATCATCTGCCATGTTGACGTTATCATGTGACCTACGACGCGTTATCACAAGCGCAACAACTTAAAAGATGAACGACACGTTTAATTCATCTATCTGTAATCTTGATATTGATGAAACTTGCTCATTTTGTGGTATTGTTGAAGAAACAGCTGCCAATTTATTTTGTGAATACATTTAGGGTTGATTTAAGTTGTTATATTTTAAACCCTACTAATGTGACCCACAGTTCCTTATAACGATTGTTTTTAAGAAACCCCAAAATCGTCATCTCTTGAATATGTTGTTAATTTCTTTATTTTATACCCAAAAAGTTTCTCCTTTAAGTTGTCCTCTTTTCTTGATGAATTTACCTCTCGTTTCATCCCTCAGACTTATAACAACAAAACAATTTTTTAATGTAGGGCCTATTATGAAAAACTATTTAAAGATATTTAGCCTTGTTATTGTTCTTTTTTCCTGTGTATATATCATATTATGATGTACACAAACCAATAATCCTTATGTTTTCTGTTTTGTCATTATGATTGTTCATTGTTAGATACAACTATGGTATCTTTCTATGATCTTTATGTAATAAGTTTAAATTATATGAGCGACAGGTGCATTAACACTTCATAACATCAGTAACTCGACAGCACAACCTAGAACAGTTTTCCTCGGCGTTTGTAATGTCTGCACAAGGAGACGGGCCGCTGATCGAAGATCTCCTTTGGAGAAAACTGTTGACTTTATACTCGAAAAATGTAAGTATCGCTCCTTGAAAATTAATATTACCTCAGAATGAATTGCATTGTTAGCCCACCCCAAAACTTAAACAAAATAATATTAAATGCTGACCAATACTTAATTATAGGCTATTACTCTTTTTTTATATACTAAAAATGATATAATTTAATAAAACAAGAAAAATGTCATTTGTTTTGTCATATGAGTTATGCATGAATACACGCGAACATCTCAATTGTCAGTCAAGCAATGAATTAATGCATACATTAAATAATTATATTTTATATACTGACAACAATAAGAAACATGAATAAATGAGTAAAAGAACAAATAAAAGTAATCATCACACAATAAACAAATGCATATACAATTCAACAGCACATGAAACAAATCTTTATTCAAACTACAAGCATGTATTTACAGGCGCTGAACCCCACATACTGCCATCTCAACACAGCGGTTCCCATTCTGCGACTTTACTCTGATGAATTCACCAGAGGTGATCGTGCCTTCGTGCCGGTGTGGTGCCGAATTCTGACCCCCGCCAAATTATTACCCCCCTAGTATGGTAGGTTTAGGATTAGTTTTGGGGGAGGGGTTAGGATTAGGGGTGGGGTTAGGATTAGGCAATCAGGTACTGATTTCAACGAGGGGGGTAATAATTTGGCAGGCAGTCGAAATTCGGCACAACACCGGAGCTTGTTGCTGCGCTGCGCTTCACAATCTGAGGCTATAAGGGCAGATGGAGAGATGGAGCGTCTCATCCATGGCACCGTTTCCAGGATTCAGCTCTGGGCTCCTCATCCTCAGTGCTCACACCAGTCTGAATAAAAACACGATTAGTTACTTTATAGATTTGTTTATTTACCTTATTTACAGCACATGTGTCTAATGTCAACAGTGTTGACAACAGTGAATGAACGTTATCCTATAATAATACCACACATATATCACTCAGATGTCTTTTTCATGTTGTGATGTGCTCATCTGCAATATGTCAGTACTTACAATATTTTCCTTTCAGATGTAAATAGACATTTTAAATAAGCGTGTTTAAGATGTTATGTAAATCCACTTTAGAGACGTTACATGTGCTTAGAGCTCCCCTGTTAGCTAGCTATACTAAACATGTTTTTACAGCAAAATCACAACTATACTATACTGTCTAACTACTTTACACCATCAACAGTTAAAACATCTACTCTATAGTAGTTTAACACATAAGGAACCGTGTTTACTCACATTTGAAAACCCCCGGCGTCGCTGATCTCCGTGATGTTTGATAATGACGTATGCTCTCGCGTGGCCTCCTGGGATAGAAGAGGATCCATCGGTTGAGCACTCAAAAATCGGGCCGGAAGCAGTAAGCCATCCGGGAACTTCTCGCCTACTCTTTTATGAATACTGATGTTTCGAACGTACTGCTTCCTTCACGTACTGTTTTCGCCTACTATATAGTAGGTAAGTAGGCATATTCGAATGCACTTAAGTCCGAATCTCGCGATAATTAGTACGTCACCCAGGTAATTCTCGCCTACTCTTTTGGATTCATACATGCTTTTTTGCTTGCCTACTCTTTTTCCCATACTATAGCAGTAGGGAAGTATGCGGTTTGGAACGCAGCCTAGGTCTCTCCCGCCGCTTGCGTCGCCTCCAACATCGGTGTCGGGGGAGGAGTCCGCTGCTTTGCAGGCTTCTGGGTCTTGCTGGTGTAAAATGCCCAGCTCATCGAGTACTTTGTGTTCCGGAACAAACATAATTCCGGATAGATCGTTTAAAAAGTTTGAATTTCGTAGTCCAAGTAGTAGGCTTCTGTTGTAGACTTTTCTCATACAAGACTGGGACGATTCAGACGACACATTTAACATAAAACGCACATCGTTACTGGGAGCTGAAGTAGCCGCTGCCATATAGGGCACCGCCAACCAAAGTGCATGTAGTGACATCATGTCAGAATCACATGTAATAAAATGCCTAACTTTATCATTATTAATATAAACAACTAACATGGCTGGTAGTACTCACTATCAAGCTAGCATATTGATACTGGTAATGGTAAAGTTTAAAATATATCGAGTTTTATTCGGTAACGAGCTAGTGTAACGGAGGCCAGCTAGTAGTTGCGAGTAAACCTCACTCCTCTGATCTCAATAGGCGCTCTAGCGACAGATGCTAGAGGCTGCAGTCTTTAGCCTTCTTGTTAGAGCGCCTGACTCTCATGCCTGAGACCCGGATTCGAGACCCGCTCAGAGCGGGGTGAGAAGGACCCGGGTGGAGGGGTTACACTAGTAACATAAAAACTAAAAACAGTAAAACTAAAAACAGGTTGCATTGATACACGTTTTCCCGTTACCATCAGTTACACTGTGATGAAGGTGAATTTCATGTAAGATTCATAACATATACAGTGTTTTACATGTAAGAGCTTCCACGAAAGAACTGTTGGCGTCACTTTTTGGTCATAGCCTTTTCAAATACTGTCTTCCTTTTTTGCCTGGTTTTCCTTCGCTGACTGTATATGCAGGTAACTGGGAATTTTGGCTACTCTTTCCCTGCCATAATTGTGGTTCTTCCTAGCCGTGCCTCTTCCACTCCTCCACCAAAAGTGTGCGCGCATGTGGGCAGCAGACAGTGCCGGTAGCCATGGTAGCGAGGGAGAGTGACAGTCGCCCAGCCAATCATTTCTTTCATCCCGGTTGGAAATAATGAGCTGTGTTTATTGCAGCACTGAGAGGACTACAGACACTCGATTTGTATACTTTTTTTTTCAGAGTACTTACATTTGAATTATGTATTGGTATACATAGACAGTTTAAACAAATTTGGGAAAACAGTTTTTTAGAAAATTTCTACCTACCCCACCTTTAAATAATAGTGTTTGTGTATATATATATGTGTGTGTATATATATATATACACACACTGGTATATATACACACACAAACACACACATACTATTATTTAAATGAGCAAAATTTATGATGAGATGTGCTCCATGCAGTTCACGTGCAATGCAATCGCCCCCGTGCCTCCATGATCAGATTGTCTGCTATATTAGCTTCTTATTTATTATATCCAGGCAATTGGTTGATGAAAATGTATTAAAATTAAGATACAATTTATACAAAACGAATCATGTCTGACCCATCATATCTTCCGATATATTGCGCATCTTACTCATACTGATGAATGACCGCTGCGCTTGACTGGTCGCGTAGTGCGAGCAGAGAGAGCGCCCCGGCCGCTCGCGCGCACTCTCACGTCTTCAAACAACACGAGCGCTGTTTTGCTCTCTCTCTCGCGCATATCAATCAAAATCAATTGACACGATAGTAAAAGGTCGGAAGACAGCAGTTTCGCGTGGAGCATTTGGAGATTTTTTTCTCCTGAATTGTGTGTGAAATGTGTGAATTGTGTTAAAAAAAGCATCCTTGTCTACTTTAAAAAGCGTTCCGCCCATTCAGCTGACATAAACCACATTTCAATAAACGAAAAAACCTATCCAGTGATTAAATGTTTTCTGTATTGAGGCAAATCGTGTGCGATGTCCTAAACTGCTAGATAATCAAACAAGCGTGCCGTCCACTAATAACACGTCCGATACGCAAACGAATGACTCCGTTTAACTAGCCTATTCACTTTACTGAATGTTTAACTTTAGTTTTTCTCTGACTGCTTCAACTCTGTGTTTATAAAGCACATTTGTTGTGGCAAGAGAAATTAGGGCTGCGTTTCCTGAAAGCATCGTAAGCCTATTTGATCATATAGACCATGTAGGGTCTGCGCCAATCAGACACACACTAATTATTCATTATATACAAAGGTCTATGAAACTCCTCTGAAACTAACATCCCAAATGAAATGAACACCCTGGCAGAACCGAGTGTCATGTTACAGGGCTGATAAGGAGACTTTTACGACCTCCAAAGGAATGTTCAGAGAGTGCTGACTCTCTCTTAATTCTAACTGAAGGGGAGAGATGAATCTTGTTAATCAGATATATTCTATTCCACTTGAGAATTGTATAAACATGTATAGAATTTCCCCATCTCATGATTTTCCTTTATGTTGTTTGGTCTATGTTTTCTTGTAAACTCTAATGGGTTAATGTTTCAAACTTTGCATACTATGGTTAACCAGAATCAGATGTGTGGCATGTTTGGACTCTATAGCTTGGTACTTTGAAGATCAAAATGACTGTGTACATGATATGTTGATAACAACAACATATTAGTATTACAAGAATCTTTTATAGTTTCTTCATCGGCTACCACCCCTCCAGCGTGCACATGCCAATGAGCACCCTTAGAGCAAAGAGCAATAAACCAAATTCCCGCCTGGAACTTCCACCGTTCTTATTGGCTGAGCCAACCCTGCGAGGTTGGACTTTTCTCAGATTATAAATTGCATCCACACCAGCCCTTCCTTCTCTCGTCCTCTCTTGCGCACTCTTGTCCTCTTAGCCCTCTCTGAGCCTCTTGCTCTCTTACACTCTTGGTCCTTCCTGAGAAGTCCTAACATGATGCTGAACTAGAAGGCCCCCAAGGACTCCCAAGCATCCGCCAGGCTGCGGCCTTGTCTTTCCATTCACCAAAGATCCTTTGACTCCCACTGGTTCTCTCTCATCAAGACAACATCATCAAAGATCAACTGGAGCCTCAACAAATTGCATCAGGACAGTGTAATTCAAATGGGCGAGACATGCAAGTATCAAACTTAGTCTCATTATTTGATACATTAAGTATCCTTACCCCTTTTTAAGAAGGGCATGTTATAACTAAACTGATGGTTTGCTCAGGCTGTTGATCTGCTGAACTTCAAACAATACTATAACTTTATAACTTCTTGCTTTCCTGTATTCTGCTTCAGCTCTCTTTCCCTTGGTAAACTGTATGCATGTATGTATGTGTGTGTTAGAGTAGTTTAAATGTTTAGTCTAGTTAATAAAGTCTTGTTCATGTCACACGTAAAGTTGTCTGTGTCTCAAGCTCATATCTGGAGTCACTAATCATAGATTTTGACTACTTGCTCTTAGTAGTACTTAGTAAGAAAGACATTTTCCATGCCCTGGAAATTTACATTTCTATTAATTAATTAATAACCAATATTGAGTGTTCACGGGATGAACCGAGTAATTGGTTGTAATGTTAATGTAGCTACATCAAGTTAACCCGATTAACTGATCCAAATATTCATAATCGATTATAACAAGTTATGATTGATTATTAATATTTCATAGAGCTGATTCGCTACAACCATTTTTTGCAATTGTTCTACGGTCAAGTTAAGCTTAAGATGTTTATGGAAACCGTGCCCAGGTGATGATGGTTATGTGTTGATGATGAAATTACAAGACTGTGGTGTCCTGATTCACTGATCTCACCCAGCATTATCTCCTTAAAGCAACAACTGCACGTTCACTTTATACAGTGCTTTTTAGCTGTATGGATTCATGTCTGTAGCTTTAGAGGTGAAACGATTCACTCGTTTTCTAAAGGATCACGAATACTAGAAACTCTCAGTGACAGGTTTCTGAGCAGCTTGTGTCTGATCTCTTCTCAGTACAAACACTGACTGTCACTGAGTGAATGACAGATCTCTGTCTCTCTCAATAGTGCTAGTTTAGAGTCAGACACGATCAAACCACTGATACAGTGTTGATGACGACACTACTGGAACAAAACACTTCACAAGCTCAGAAACATCATTATTTTCATATAAAATGCTGAGGAAACTAAATGTCAGATTGTTACTTTAATATTAATTTATGACCCATGATTCACGCTGAACCTGGAAATGTTAGGGCATTTTGAAATGGTAATTTCTAGCCAAGAAAATGTTATAAGTACATTTTATAATTAAATAAGTCTTTAAAAAATATGTACATGATTGTACTGGTATGTGTATAAAACGTGTTTGCTTCCAATTTACATGTTTGTCTTTTTCTTGTCTAAGATGCATTGATATTTAAATAATCATATAAATGCATTTAAAAAAAATTGTGCAAAAAAAAAAAAAAAAACTTGTTAATTTCTTAATATATTTCCATAACAGGTCTCTCTACAGACCCCTGCTACAACTACATTGTGCTGGACGATCCATGGAGATCCATCAGTAATACACACGCTTCAGTCACAAAGTGTGACACGTCTGTCTCCTGGAGCGGCTGGTATCGTCTCTTCATTAACAACACTAGCGCTCATATCCCAGACACGTGTGTTGCGAGGTACAGCTGTGGCACTGAAACCCCACTGTGGATCCGTGGTGGACACCCAACAGTAACAGATGGAGTCGTCACTCGAGATGTCTGCGGTTCCGGTGGGAGATACTGCTGCTATTACGGGTCTTATCCCATTAAAGTCAAAGCCTGTCCACTCGATTATTATGTCTATTGGCTGGTTAGACCACCTCACTGCAATCTTGCATACTGTGCAGGTAATTATATTCACATGAGCTCTTTCTACACATTCATGATATTTGTGTTTCTGTTCATTAATCATTATTCATCCACACTTTCAGACACTGGCAGCATTAACACCAGCCCTACAACTGTCACACCAGTGACCATCTCACCTGGTAATGTAACACACTGTGTCTCTACTGGCTTATTTTATGAATGTTTTCTAATGGCTACAGATATTCTATGGTAAATTTGAACATGGATTTTAACATGAATATTTTCCTCAAAAGTCATGGAAATGTTTTGGTAGAGATATATGAAACCTGTAGATTGTTCTCAGGTGTGTGTGTGTGTGTGTGTGTGTGTGTGTGTGTGTGTGTGTGTGTGTGTGTGTGTGTGTGTGTGTGTGTGTGTGTGTGTGTGTGTGTGTGTGTGTGTGTGTGTGTGTCATTCACTGTAGTTCTGAATATGCCACACTTCATAGTCAGACACAGTCCTTGTGTTTTTATTATAAACAACTATAAAAAATAGAAGTTATGCTTCATTTAAAACAGTTCATCAGCATCTCTCTCTCATTCATCCCGCATTCATCTCTCATTCGTCCATTATTCATCTCTCATTCATCCCTCATTCATCCCTCATTCATCCCTCATTCATCTCTCATTCATCCCTCATTCATCTCTCATTCATCTCTCATTCATCCCTCATTCATCTCTCATTCATCTCTCATTCATCTCTCATTCATCCCTCATTCATCTCTCATTCATCTCTCATTCATCCCTCATTCATCCCTCATTCATCTCTCATTCATCTCTCATTCGTCCATTATTCATCTCTCATTCATCTCTCATTCATCCCTCATTCATCTCTCATTCATCTCTCATTCATCCCTCATTCATCTCTCATTCATCTCTCATTCATCTCTCATTCATCCCTCATTCATCTCTCATTCATCCCTCATTCATCTCTCATTCATCCCTCATTCATCTCTCATTCATCTCTCATTCATCCCTCATTCATCTCTCATTCATCTCTCATTCATCTCTCATTCATCCCTCATTCATCTCTCATTCATCTCTCATTCATCTCTCATTCATCCCTCATTCATCTCTCATTCATCTCTCATTCATCCCTCATTCATCTCTCATTCATCCCTCATTCATCTCTCATTCATCTCTCATTCATCCCTCATTCATCTCTCATTCATCCCTCATTCATCTCTCATTCATCCCTCATTCATCTCTCATTCATCCCTCATTCATCTCTCATTCATCTCTCATTCATCCCTCATTCATCCCTCATTCATCTCTCATTCATTCCTCATTCATCCCTCATTCATCTCTCATTCATTCCTCATTCATCTCTCATTCATTCCTCATTCATCCCTCATTCATCTCTCATTCATCCCTCATTCATCTCTCATTCATCTCTCATTCATCCCTCAATCATCCCTCATTCATTCCTCATTCATCCCTCATTCATTCCTCATTCATCTCTCATTCATCCCTCATTCATTCCTCATTCATCTCTCATTCATCTCTCATTCATCTCTCATTCATTCCTCATTCATCTCTCATTCATTCCTCATTCATCCCTCAATCATCCCTCATTCATTCCTCATTCATCCCTCATTCATCCCTCATTCATCTCTCATTCATCTCTCATTCATTCCTCATTCATCTCTCATTCATCCCTCATTCATCCCTCATTCATCTCTCATTCATCCCTCATTCATCTCTCATTCATCTCTCATTCATCCCTCAATCATCCCTCATTCATTCCTCATTCATCCCTCATTCATTCCTCATTCATCTCTCATTCATCCCTCATTCATTCCTCATTCATCTCTCATTCATCTCTCATTCATCTCTCATTCATTCCTCATTCATCTCTCATTCATTCCTCATTCATCCCTCAATCATCCCTCAATCATCCCTCATTCATTCCTCATTCATCCCTCATTCATCCCTCATTCATCTCTCATTCATCCCTCATTCATCCCTCATTCATCTCTCATTCATTCCTCATTCATCTCTCATTCATTCCTCATTCATCCCTCATTCATCTCTCATTCATCCTTCATTCATCTCTCATTCATCTCTCATTCATCCCTCAATCATCCCTCATTCATTCCTCATTCATCCCTCATTCATTCCTCATTCATCTCTCATTCATCCCTCATTCATTCCTCATTCATCTCTCATTCATCTCTCATTCATCTCTCATTCATTCCTCATTCATCTCTCATTCATCTCTCATTCATCCCTCAATCATCCCTCATTCATTCCTCATTCATCCCTCATTCATTCCTCATTCATCTCTCATTCATCCCTCATTCATTCCTCATTCATCTCTCATTCATCCCTCAATCATCCCTCATTCATTCCTCATTCATCCCTCATTCATCCCTCATTCATCTCTCATTCATCCCTCATTCATCCCTCATTCATCCCTCATTCATCCCTCATTCATCCCTCATTCATCTCTCATTCATCTCTCATTCATCTCTCATTCATCCCTCAATCATCCCTCATTCATTCCTCATTCATCCCTCATTCATTCCTCATTCATCTCTCATTCATCCCTCATTCATTCCTCATTCATCTCTCATTCATCTCTCATTCATCCCTCAATCATCCCTCATTCATTCCTCATTCATCACTCAAAAAAATGATATGTTGGCTTTACTTAACTTTTTTATGTAAACAGGTTCCACCGGTTCCACATAACTATGTTTCGTTAAACAAACATAATATGTTCATGTAACTTCAACATCATGGAATTTGGTCATTTTAAGCGACCCAATTAAACTCTGAGCTAATGAGTTAATTAAGTGAATAATTGAGTGATGATTGAGCATTATTGAAGACACCTGATGTTAACAAGCAGAATCTCTGAAGGAGAAAACCGGAATGTTTAAGTCACCATTATGGAGATAAGTATTCGTTTTAGTTGGGCTCTTGACCATTAACTTATTAACTTTAGATTTTGTTTGGTTGCTGTACATGAGTTATAACAGCCATATGAACAATAAACAAAGGTCATCTGATGGTGTTGGTTATGTTTTAACATAATCATTATTTCACAATCATTTGACGTGAGTCACTGAACTTATATTAAACCCAATTTCTGAGTTAAGTTTATCTTATGGATAATAACAGCACTGTCATTGAAGAGCATACTATTTTTAGCCTTTTCATTGAATTCAAATGATCAAATCGATAATTAAAAAAGAAACTTCTTAAAAAATAAATATTTTGCGTAGGCACACACAGACATCAAGAATTAGCCTGTGAATCTTAGCAATGGTGACAAACAGATCATAAGCTCATTATTTATTCATGCAGCAATGCATGATGGGAGCCATGAATGAGTTTTGATTGGTGGCACCCAGAATGCACTGCAACATGCTTTATAATTGTCACCATTGTTGAGATTCACAGGCTAATTCTTGATGTCTGTGTGTGCCTATGCAAAATATTTTTTTAAGAAGTTTCTGAATTTGAATTTCATTGAAAAGGCTAAAAATAGTATGTTCTACAATGACAGTGGTGCTATAATCCATAAGATAAACTTAACTCAGAAATTGGGTTTAATATAAGTTCAGTGATTCAGGTCAAATGATTGTGAAATAATGATTATGTTAAAACACAACCAATACCATCAGATCACCTTTGTTTATTGTTCATCCAGCTCACGTACAACAGCCAAACAAAATCTAAAGTTAATGAATGAATGGTCAAGAGCCCAACTAAAACACACACTTATCTCCATAATGGTGATTAAAATATTCCGGTTTTCTCCTTCAGAGATTCTGCTTGTTAACATCAGGTGTCTTCAATAATGCTCAATCATCACTCAATTATTCACTTAATTAACTCATTAGCTCAGAGTTTAATTGGGTCGCTTAAAATGACCAAATTCCATGATGTTGAAGTTACATGAACATATTATGTTTGTTTAACGAAACATAGTTATGTGGAACCGGTGGAACCTGTTTACAAAAAAAAGTTTAGTAAAGCCAACATATCATTTTTTTGAGTGATCCCTCATTCATCCCTCATTCATCTCTCATTCATCCCTCATTCATCCCTCATTCATTCCTCATTCATCCCTCATTCATCTCTCATTCATTCCTCATTCATCTCTCATTCATTCCTCATTCATCTCTCATTCATCTCTCATTCATCTCTCATTCATTCCTCATTCATCTCTCATTCATCTCTCATTCATCCCTCATTCATCTCTCATTCATCTCTCATTCATCCCTCAATCATCCCTCATTCATTCCTCATTCATCCCTCATTCATTCCTCATTCATCTCTCATTCATCCCTCATTCATTCCTCATTCATCTCTCATTCATCTCTCATTCATCCCTCAATCATCCCTCATTCATTCCTCATTCATCCCTCATTCATCCCTCATTCATCTCTCATTCATCCCTCATTCATCCCTCATTCATTCCTCATTCATCCCTCATTCATCTCTCATTCATTCCTCATTCATCTCTCATTCATTCCTCATTCATTCCTCATTCATCTCTCATTCATTCCTCATTCATCTCTCATTCATCTCTCATTCATCCCTCATTCATCCCTCATTCATCTCTCATTCATTCCTCATTCATCTCTCATTCATCCCTCATTCATCCCTCATTCATCTCTCATTCATCCCTCATTCATTCCTCATTCATCTCTCATTCATCCCTCATTCATTCCTCATTCATCTCTCATTCATCTCTCATTCATCCCTCATTCATCTCTCATTCATTCCTCATTCATCTCTCATTCATCCCTCATTCATCTCTCATTCATCCCTCATTCATTCCTCATTCATCTCTCATTCATCTCTCATTCATCCCTCATTCATCTCTCATTCATTCCTCATTCATCTCTCATTCATTCCTCATTCATCTCTCATTCATCCCTCATTCATTCCTCATTCATCTCTCATTCATCTCTCATTCATCCCTCATTCATCTCTCATTCATTCCTCATTCATCTCTCATTCATCCCTCATTCATCTCTCATTCATTCCTCATTCATCTCTCATTCATTCCTCATTCATCTCTCATTCATCTCTCATTCATCTCTCATTCATCCCTCATTCATCTCTCATTCATCTCTCATTCATCCCTCATTCATCCCTCATTCATTCCTCATTCATCTCTCTTT